CCGTTCCCGTGGAACTTGGGATAAAACGTGGTATAAGAAGACGCAACTCACAGCAAAACTAAAAATTTATCATTCAAAACATCAGTCTAGCCGTTCATTTGTTAAAAATGGTATAACAAAATTTCAATCTCTGTTGGGGGGTGGGAGTAGTGGTGAAGAGGAGTTGCAATGTTTAAATGGAACATAGATATATTATTTGTGGTCAAATTTACTTGAAACTTGGTCTTAATGGTCTCTCATTTAATTTCCTAAAGACCTGTTTCGACATTTTAAAAAATTCAACCTTCAAAGGGGGGAGGGGTAAAAAGGTGTTGCAATTTTTAAAAATCAACCCTTAACGATGAAATGTTATTGCTACGTTTGTGTTTGAAATCTAAGATGGCGACATTACATAAAATAAAAACGTTGTAAAGGTTAATTGGGAGTTAAAAGATTTTATGGAGAAACAATTTTTAACCCCCCCCCCTTTCGGTAGTCACCAGGAGTAAATGCCAAATTCCTCCATCTCCCTGTGGTTTTTACGTAGTAATTCACAGCTGGAAAAAGCCCTAGATTTTTCTAAAGGAGATTGACAAAAACCTAACCCCCCCCACCCTTGCGACCAAGCGTGGTATTTTCGAAGACCCTTTCCTTCCCCTAACGGGTCACATAGTACGGATCGTTGGAGCTATTTTTTTTGGAAGAAAATTGATGGAAATTAAAACTAAATGGAAAATTGGTAATCGAATTTCATGTTATTAAGGAAACAAAACACCTCTCCATTATCTATAGATAACATACCCCTAGTTGTTTTCGTTAATTCAACAAAAGCATACCTGTAATAGATATAATTAAATTGCAAAATGCGTAGATAACTTTCTAGAATACCTTTTTCTGCAGAATACCTACATAGTTAACATGTACATTGGGAAATCATGTAAAAGTACATCCTACCTTAATAAACGTCCCTGCATGATATCCAATATTAGTGTTAAACAAACGCACATCGAACAACAATAACTCCGTTTCATTTGTTTAACGTTTTTAACCACCGAAAACAATGCGATATTATAAACGATCACGCCACGACTGTTCTTCTAATTTTATTCTCTGCAAACTGATACACGTTTCTACGAGTGTTATTACACTGCTTCTTATCTATTTTAATTTTTTGTGCCGCTTTTTTTACCTCATCCTCGGCTATTATTGGCCATCCTTCTCGAACACACGATAGCGCGTATTACAAATACAGCAATGACTTTCACGCGAGCAGAAGGACAAACGTATGACGGTAAATTACTCCTAATATTTTTATCATTGACTGAACACGAATTTATATTGCTATACCAGATTTTACCTATCCGAAATTTCTACAACGTCGATTTCGGATTTTAATGTCATAAAAATCGATAGTAGACCACTTTCCATACAAGGGTGTATTTTACTGCCTTAAAAATTGAATTTGATAGGTGAGAGAATGATAAGATTTCAAAATATTGGTGACATCACTGGATCATGTTAGTCGTTCTACCTTTAAGTATATACTTCATGTTTTTAAAGACCTTTTAGGGTCTTTTGACGTATTTCTATGTTAAACTTTTTAAAAACAATCGGTTTCAATTGGTAACAATAAACGTCAATCGTCTTTACGTTCAATTGTTTTTATGTGTTGCGAGTTTTCCTGAGTCCCTATTTTTACTGAATTACATACAAACCGACCTAAAAACATCTAGAATAGTGTTTACCTATCGTGGTCACGTTAAGACGACAGCAAGAATTGGAGACCAAAGCGTGAAACTCCAAAATAATCTCATTACTTTGTAAAATACGCCGGTTTTTTTTGTCTCGCGGACCACCGTGCCAAAAAGGACTAAATCATCGACTAACTGCGACACAAAACAATTTCCAAACGCTTTATATGACTACCATAGTGAAAAGATTGTTTGGAAATATAAATTTGATCCTATATAGAAAAATTTTGATTTCGACAGTACCATTTGAAATCACTCCGTTTTCACGTTTTCTTTGCAACACGACAACAATCAATTTTATCACAACTAAATTACAAAATTTTCTGCTATATTCATATTCAGCATCAAAACAGAAAAAACTGAAGTCGATGTCTCTTGTTTCTTTCAATTGTTCGAGCAGTTTGCAATTATTTTCATATTAATAACTAACAATGATACGTGAAAAACAATCGATAAATTACGAGATGCATTTGTCTTTGTAACAACAAACGAAACAAATTGGTATCGGCAAATTGATTATTGTTTTATTGACTGTATTAATTCCTGATTGTTAATTACCCCCTAACCATAGATTAAATTAAAAACCTATAATGCGAGATATGATATATCACTGCAAGCTCTGTCTGTTTGTCAATCACCCAGTTACCACCCATGACCAAAAGTACCACCTTTTGATTAAAGACAAGGCTTTTGTAAAATCTCATATTATTAGCGTTTTAAAAGACAGTGGCGAACGAATATGGGAAAAATAACGCTTCTTTTACTTTATAAACATAATGCGCCTATCTCGTCTAATAATAAAGTTGATTTTGACGAACAACAAAGTCAAGCCGCAGCATTGTCGGTTCGATTTTTGGTACCCACCTATACGTGATACACAAATAATAGTTTATGGGTGCGTGTTGTTGTATGCGTGCGTTTTCAACCCCCTCCGGCGGGTTGTTCGAGCACAAGCTGCAAAAACATCCCCTTTCAAGCGAGCTGTTGGACCGTACCGCTACTCTGATCCGTTAAAAGTGATACCACCGCACCGTGTGGATTACATAGTCCTGGTAGTGTTTTGTTATTTTATTGTTAATCCGGCTAGCTCATAACCGAACAATAGATAAATAAAACGGGCTAAAACGTATTTATACCACCAACAACAAACGCAAGTATGCAATACCAGGTATATAAAACCTAGATAACCTAAAGAGAATGATTTAGAATTTTCCGGAAGGTTCGGGAACGTTCTCGAATGATAACTAATTTTATTTTAATAAAACGAAGGCAACACGTCTTGTTTAGAATAATTCTACTCAGAAATTTCTGTAAGCGAAATGGGTGCGTATGTCTCCTCTGATAATACGCCCATGACGATGAGTGTCATGTCATCTCATGGTATCCATTAGTTCAAATTTGAACGGGTCCAACTGGTTAAGCGTTAGATAATACGACTCGGGGTCGACATACCGGCGCAATGCACTTAATTCAATTTCTTCGTCTCTTTAGCCATTTGTAAGAAGATGCACGGTTATTAAAACAATATTATTTATAATTATATTCATGGAGGTGTGACCGACCGACTTACTGACTGGACTTGGACGGTGTGGCTACAATCAATACCATAAATTATTAATGATATAAGGTTGAGAGGCAGGCGTGGATAATTTTAGGTGTAATTTCGTCGATGTGATGATTGTGGCAATTTAATTTCGATGATAAACAGTCATTATCATTTCAATTTGGCTTAGAGTTAAACCAGCGTCGATAAATGCACGGGAAACAAACGATAGCATCAGCATCATAAGGTCGTCAGTCCTAGGATTGGTTGGACATGCACCTGCAGTTTTTCCTGTCCTGGGCTAATCTTCCCGTTTCCTTAAAAGTAGAATAATATCCGATATTCTTAACTATATGTGAACAGTAATCTAATCTAAGTAGATGGGATACAGGCGGAAATTCGAAAACATGTAGCACAAGAGGTTGGAGATCGTATGTTTAAACTAGTTAGTAACATTTACGAGACGGGGAAAATCCCAGAGGATTATAAACGGAACGGGGTAGTAACCATACCTAAAAAGAGAGACGCGGGTAGGTGCGAGACATTTAGAACAATTAGCTTAACTTCCCATGCGTCAAAAATCTTAACTAGAATTGTACAGAGGATGGAAAAAAGGGCGGAAGAACTATTAGGTGAGGATCAATTTGGGTTTAGAAGAAATAGAGGAACGCGGGAGGCCATTCTAGCTTTACGGGTAACAATAGAGAAAACGGTAGAAAAAGGAAAGAGCGCGTACATGGGATTTGTAGATTTAGAAAAAGGTTTTGACAATGTTAAATGGGACAATACGTTAAATATACTTAAAAATGTAGGGATGAGTTACAGAGATAGAAGAGTGATACTTAGTTTGTATAAAGAGCAACAGGCAGTTATAGAGATGGGGCTGCAACGTAGAGAAGTAAATATTAGGAAGGGAGTCAGACAGGGATGCACACTGTCACCGCTACTTTTTAATCTATACATCGAAGACACGATCGCCTTCATTAATGACAGGACGACTGTAGGTAGGGGTAGATATAAAGGGGCAACTAGCCCTACATGTCTGAAAAGATGTCCCACCTATGTTTTACTGACTTCTTTAGAGTCCTCTGTTCTCTTATTCTTTTTAATATCTATCCACGGTATCCTAATCAATCGCCTGTAACACCACATTTCGAACGCTTCTAACCTTTTCTTTTCCGCCACGCCCACCGTCCTTGTTTCGCACCTGTACAGCGCCGTGGTCCATACATACACCTTTAACAAACCTTTTCGAATTTCTAAATTAATCGTTCGTGAGCAAAGAAATTACTTCTTTTTTTTTGAAGGCGACACGACCCTGCGCTATCCTCTGCTTTATATCCCAACTACTCCTTCCGTCCTAATTTATCTTACTTCCTAGATATCGAAAATCAGTCACTTCTTCTAATTTTTCTTTTCTTCTCCTATCTTTATATTCGCTCTTTCCCTACGTTTTCTTCCCTTGCATGCCAGTATCTTTGTTTCACTTTTATATATTTTCATACAATACCGTTTTGTCAATACCGCTTCCACTTTATTTAAAGCTATCTCTAACTCCTCCTTGCTAGATGCTAATACTTCTATATCATCCGCAACTCTAAGCATATTAATGTTTTACCCCTGCATATCTATCCCTACAGTTGTCCTGTCTTTAAGGATGCCGATCGCGTCTTCGATTTACAGATTAAACAAACCACAGCAAAAAAGATTATTTCTAGAATACGCTAGTAGGTATGTCTTTATTTAAGTTTTGGTTTCCATAACAAGTAAATAAAATAGTAATAGATATAAATGTATACCTCATAGATACCAATAGACAGAGACATTCGAAAAAGAGACAACAGAAAATTCAATTAACTATGCCAAAAAACTAATTAAGATTAGCAACACATTTTCGCGTTTTGACATAATTTTATTCGTCTTGCCCTTCAATAACAGATTTGGTAAAGGCATAGCTCCTTTTGAAAGGGCTCTTCTGGTCGGTAATTTTCGTCAACCCCGGCATCACAACACTACTACCCTTTTCGTCTATTAAATGTCGATAATAGGTCAAAGCCTGTGTGGCATACAGCGGGTATTTTTTGCAAAGATCCTCGTCTATCAGATCATAGCCGCTTTTCACTTTAAACCCTTGGGCGTTATATTCGGCGTTGTAAGTGGTACAAAACTCCCTTTCCATTGGCTTCTGCGCCCTTTCCTTTAAGACCTCCTCGGCCACTTCTTTGTAAAGTTGTTCTGTCAGCAATTTCTTCCGTATTCCGACGTTCGTTTGTTCGTCGGGTTGGGGAGGTCCGTACTCCTCTTTCATGGTGGAACAAACCCCTTCGTTGGTCTTTTTTTTCGCAGCGTCCCTTATTAACCATTTGTGACTGTCGCCGCGGTACTGTTCTTCCCAACATCTGTCAGATTCTACGCTGCTTACGTCGTCCGGTATCACGTCTTCAATAGTTAGATGATCGGGAAGCTGATCGGGAGATTGATGTTGCCCGTTTTCATCAGTCATGTTTTTTAAACGAAAATCTGTTGTAATCTATAAAGAAATAAAGAAATAGCGGCCTCTATACTAATTCTATTGTTACATTGTTTTGTTAATAGTTAATATGTATTGTGGCTTGCTTAAACTTTTTAAAAACGAAAAAATAATAAACTGTTATAGTGTTTTGTTTGTTAATACCGCTTGTTCTTCACTCTTTTTCCAATTGTTTTTTAATATTTCATTGTTTTCACAAATGCTACTGTTACTTGTTCGTAAAATTACTATTTCTTTTTTTTCGCTAGAAACAATAGAGTGTTTTGAAATAGTTGAAATTTAAAAAATATGCCCAATACATATTATATAATTGCGAAATAGGACGACCAGCAGCTTGTTTATAACTAAGTTATTCCTAATAGAATAAATTACAAATACTATAATTTATATCAATTAAACGAATGAAACTAATGGACCTGTTTTTTTGTTATGACTAAATAATTTCCAAAAAGGGAAGTGCGTTCTTTGCACTTATGGGACATTAAGTCGTAAACATAAACTATAAATTTTTCAATACCTAAGGTAGATTCTGTATGGTTTTCATGCGTTTCACAGATATCAGTTATGCAAATTCGGGCCTTTATTCATTCAAACGATAACCACGTCCAATATAATATTCCAATTTCGTTTAGAAAAGCTATATTTCATTCAAACTTGCGCCTCGGTATCGACAGAAATATCAGAAGCTTTATCGCCCAATTTTGACAGGTAAAAAATAGTTTGTCATAGAAAACATTTCGACATTAAAACGATTTCATTTGTCGATGTTACCGAAGCAATCGCCGATCGAAACATTCGATACTGCAACGATGTGTTTCAACGTATACATACACAGGCGCAAATGTTAAACATTAAATACATTGTGTCCCATACATTAATTTATGAACAAAAATTTTAATTAAGGACACCCTCTAAATTGATTTCTTTTTTGTTTGTGTGTTCAGTATACATGACAGTAGAACTACGATAATATAGCACACAAATACATACCCACAATGATGTAAAGTTTGAATTTGTTAAAAACAAGTGAAAAACGAAATATTTTCGTAGCGTTGCAATACTGACGAATGAATATTATTATCTATATGGCGTTTCCAATATTTGATTTGGTGGTAGGCGGCGTACAGCGGCTACGGTTACCATGGCAACTGTCGAATCGAAAAAGCTCACCGAGCCGCTACGGAAACACGTTCAGAGCTTTGAACTTTACCTCTAAACGCGACCGGAAATTCGGAAAACGAATATCGGAAAAATAAAAGTCCTTATACTACAACAAAACATAACGGTCGGTAACTAATTTATAACAGCGGCTAAATTGCGTTCTTCTGCTATTTTGTTTCTTCTGCTACAACTTAAGAAACAATCATATGACGAAACAGTTGATGTGCTGTACATTATTTCCTTTGTAGTGTGCTTTTGTTATTGCTAGTCTACTGTTTATAACGAAGCACATGGTTAACAGTAGAATGAGTGTTTCTACAATGTCCGATACGGATGTAATAAGGTCCGCTCCTCGCGTATTTCGAGACCCATGGGATTTTCAAATACCTCTAACATCACTTTTATCAAAAAAGGTCCATCCAAGGTGGTGTTGCCCATTAAGGCGCCGTGGAGACGTGCGGATTATTTTGAATAGCATGTTCGATACCTTCAGATCCTATTTAGCTTCTAGGTTTCCTGTTATCTCTGTAGATATTTATGTAGATAGTCGTCGAGAATGACACACCGAGAAATCTTTACACTTGAACGCATCTTTTGTTTATTTCTTTCGGTTGTCGTTCCACAGCCACGCTATTTACCGATATTTACCGTGGCGGACAACGTCAACGTGTGCCGTGGCGATTCCATGGTGATTCCAAGGCAGCCGCGACCCTAGCCAAACGTAGTAGGTATGCACTAGGTAAGATACCTACGTGTATCTCTTGCCGTGACGGCGTATTAAAAGAGAATTAAAGAAAAAAAGATAATAACATCCAAATCCGGCGTTATGCCACATGTCCGTCCCGTAATAACGGTCACAATGTCTGTCTGTCTGTCTGTCCGACTGTCCGTCCGATTGGTATACCGGCCGGCCCTGAGGTAATAATGGTACCCACAACCGGCAGAGACCCAGCAAGCGACCTGGCACCTTGACAGACGTCGTGTTCTCCGTGGAAAAGATTCTTCTTCTGTCCGGAATATTCATATTACTGGCCGAGATTACCTAATACCAAAGAGCTAAAAACGGTTATGGACAGAACCATCTAGAATTGCTCTACTTGGAAGCACCCAGTAATAATAATTTCTTTGTTTTCTTTTTGGAACAAAGAAAAATTTTGAACTCCCTACATCCTTAACAGTTAATTCTATAAAAAAAACATCAGACTATCGTTGCATATTATCTGTGTGTACCTCTGACAATAGACGATGACATTCAACTATTTGGTTGCGAATAATTTTTCCCGTGTCTTTCATTGTTTAAAGAAAAAAAACAAGTGATTGATGGTTGTTTTGTTTTTTACTTCACTTGTTATCGTCTCAAATTCTATAAGTACATATACCCTTAAATAAAACGGTAGCGGTATTGACAAAGCAGTAGATTTTGTATGAAAATGAATTAAGGTAAAACGTAAATACTGGTATACAAGGGAAGAAAAAGTAGGAAAAGAAACTCATCAGGATAATTAAGGATATGGGATGTTCTTGATTCAGGAAAATGCGAAGGCTACATCAAGATAGGAAAGAGTGCATGTGCATGTCCACTAGACTTAAGATGATTGTGATAATGAAAACATATTTCAATTATCGTTTTTCCGGACAAAATCCCCATTAGGTATTATTTGCAATGCCAATTTTCCACATTACTTTATTTGCTGTCTCCAGTTGATACAGTTCTATGGATTTATGTATATATCCCGTCACAGGCTTAAACTTTTAACCTTTGTCGAGCAGTTTCGATGTCAGTTGTGTACAACAATTTCAGAACATCTAATATGAAGTGTGATGTACGTATGTATGTATGTATATATATCATAAGCTTTTGAGAACACGCCAGCATTAAAATGTAAAGACGTGCTAACCGAAAGGCATTATCATTCAAGTGTAAAAGAAGGTTTAGAAACTCCAAACGTATAAAAAACATCGAAAGTGATCGTGTCTGTTCATTTTTTTTTTCCCGACAGATTATCATGAAGCTACCAGGACGTAACAAACGAAAAGCCGGTCATTGTTTCAATATTTTGTTTTTCTTTTATCGGCGTTTCGAGTATGTTTTTGTTTCTTTTACGTTTGAAGTGATGAAATCTTTAACTGTTTCGATAATATTTTGTTTTTATCCTATTCATCTATTTAATGTTAAACCTTCAACTTTATTGATAGTTAGGAAAATTGTTTCGACTAGATTTGAACCTGGGAGTCATTTAATTTAGAATCACAGAAATCAAGGAAGATCTCTGTTTAAGGCGAGTCTTTAATAACTGGCTTCCTGTATCGTGTTTTCGTCGTTTAACTGTATAAAATACAGATTAAGTGTTTCGTTAAGTAATTATTGGTCGTCGATAAAAAACTAGTACTAATCAATTATCTAGTGAGACCGACCCGGCTCGGAAATAAACAGTAAACGGGGGCCCTTATCTTAATTTATGTACTCCGACTGCTTGCATCAGTATTATACCAGTCCGTATAATAACCATCAGTTCAGTCGTGGGCAGAAATGAGAAATGTCAAAGACCATCGATAGTTATATTTGTTCGACATTCAGAAATTCTAGAAAAAGGAGAAATATTTTCTGACTAAACTGTAGAATATCTGTAACCAGTTATTTTGAAGAACCCCTACGTAAGTTTACCTCCTATTGACTGAGATCGTTGAGGAAATTACTCAAAAGATCTCTTCCTTTATCATAGTTTCTAGATGTCTCTTTTCTATAGTCCTCTCCTCCAGGATGAAGCGCTCTTTTACCCGTAAGAAATTTCAAAATTTCCCTTACACGTTTCGTAGCGCGTGTTTCATTTGTTTTAATAAAATTGGAAAGTCACGTCACAGAATAAGAAACAAACGAGTGTGGTACAATTTTTTAGCATCAGGTCGTACTTCTTTTATTTTTATTATATATCTAAACACTAGACAAAGGTTCAAGGAACGATTCATGGCTATTTTTATGAAGAAAAATAAACCTTTGCCGAAAAATATTTCCGATGTTTTCGAACATTCATATACTGGAATTCTGAAATTTCGTGTCGACAGGGTGACACATGTTTAGAGAACACCCTGTACAAGTACGTGTATTATTGTTTAGTGTTTGTGGCGGGACATCAGTTTGGCATTTTTTCCGCGATTTCCATCTTTCACGGTCGTCCAATTACTGGACGCGGGTCGGCATGGGGTCGCGGCAACAAACCCCAATTAGCGGACTAACTGCTGCGAGACAAGACATTACGGACAGGCCAGCGAAAGCCCCAAGGAGGCCAGCGAGGCCCGACTCTCCGTTTCCTCCACGTTCACACCTAAACACCTACACACACCTCGAGAGTCCGCGGCGTGCGAGGACACTGTGTTCGCATGTATGTATGCAGGTACAGATACATACATATAACGTGGCCGTGTCTTCGAAGAAGAACAAGAAGAAGAAGAAACGACGAAATAACCAGCCGACTAAGACACCACGGTGTTTTATGTCCACGCAGGGGCCCAAACGTACTCGTAGATCATAGTTATGGGCCTGACTGACGCGAGCTTTTCGGCCCGCTCGACGGCGTTGCAATTTGGACCCAAAAAAAATCCACGGGTTTAATAATAATAATAACAATAATAAATGCTAGATGCTCAGTTTTTTATACAGGCACCACGCAAAAAAAAAACTGTCCACATCGCGACTGGATTTGAACTCGCGTACTCCAGCGCGGTAGATCTACGCTCTAACCACTGGACTATTTCGAGAAATAGTTATTTTCGTCGAAATTATCGCGCGGGCAAGTCAATTTTGTTGTTTTTATGCGTAAAAATACGGGAAAAACTAATTTTTCCGAAAGTGAGACCTACTTGGAACGATTTTCCGACCGTGCAAACCCTTAAATTACAAATTTAATCGAATTTATTAGAGTCGGGATGTTTTCGCTAACGTATTCGACCTTTCACTGTTATAAGTCACTTAATGAGTGAAATTTGGACATTACAATAAACGTTTGCTTCTTCTGCCGCTAATATATATATGTAAATCATATGAAAGACAGCTCCAACATGTGTTGTAATAAGAAAGTTATTGATGATAGAATGGGTAACCGTAGTCATAAAAACGAATTTATCAATCGCCCACCATTTGTTACTGTTTAGTGCACGTAGCGTTTGCTTTCGTCATTTGTTTTCCTTTCCCTCTTCACTTGTTTGTCATAATTAAACAATAAGATTAATAACGACGAAAAGTCGTTTTGTGGAGGTACCAGCGTGACCTTGGAAAGGTCGCGTTGTGGAATGATTGACAGCCTGTCCGAGAATTGTTTTGATTTATTTCCAAAACCCAGTATCGAAAGTACAATTAGTCAAAGTAAAATGAATTAAAAAAAATGAGAAACGATCATTTTTCATTCTGTGTAACTGTATGCATATATGTATATCTACGGTATATTCCCAGTATTCGCCGCTCATAAATATTGCATGAGAATATTATAATTTTCCAGTGTGAGAGGGCCGCGCGCCGCTGGGATGACTGAAATGGAAATTAGTACGGCATAAAGCAAGAGTGTGCTGTGGTCCGGTACGTACGATAACGTGATGTTTCTTCAACCTCGTTAGTAATGAATTGGATCCGGCAATAGACGATGACATTCAACTATTTCGTTGCGAATAATTTTTCCAATGCCTTTCATTGTTTAAAGAAAAAAAAACAAGCGATTGTAGGGTGTTTTGTTTCTTATTTCACTTGTTATCGTCTCAAATTCTATGTACCTATACGTATTCAACAACTTGAGTATGACATTTTAGTTATAAATCTTTTAGGTTCCTATATGCGCTTAGACGATTTTGAATTATCCTTATGTTTCTTCTGATTCTAAAGTTAAAAAAGAGGTTACCCTCTTGCAAGGAGAGGTAGTATTAGTCTATCCCTTCAACATCCTGGCAATTTCGAAGTTTACTTAAAGACGCTTCTGCCAGTGACACTGACGATTGAAAATCATGATATATCCCTTGAAGTATCAGTTTCTGCTCGGTCCAAAAATGAAACTCCCGAACTCTATGAAATGGGCTCCAAGATTTGTTTTGTTTTTTTCTTTTGTTTTTAGTTCACATGTCCTAAAGATTTGAAAAGCGAACTTGGCAAGCAGTACTTTGTTCTCATAGTTGCTTTACAGGCACGTTGCCACATACAATTGTCGCACACACGGGGTCTTATCAGCGCGAAACAATGGCAACAAATCTGTTACATACGAAAGGCCGTTTTACGAGGCAGCCATTTCCAATGGGCAATAATATTATTAACAGGTCCCAATAATAAAAAAAGTCTTTCTCTTTCTCCACATTGGACACGCCAATTGACTGTACGTTCGTGGTCTATAGACTTTATTAATTACATCCCTTTGGCGGATCCCGTAAAAAATCCGGGCACAATGAGCGACGGTTCTTATTTTTATTTTCTTCCTTCCGCTTCTCGAACAGAAGGAGCGAGCAGTTTGACGACGAACAACAACGAGTTATTCCGTTACATTGTTGCCAGTTGAAACAAATGCCAACACAACGCCACGACCAATTGTGTGATTTATTATTGAAAGTCGGAGAGTCGTAAAATTTGCTGTTCGGTTCCAACAAGGACCTATTTTCAATACAAGCTTTATCGATAATGACGATGGCTCAATCTCATCGATTTTCAACGTCAGCTTGTTCATAACCTACTCATCAGCTAAAAAGAAAACAAAAAACAGCACCATGAACTCAAACAGTTGAACGATAATAATAGAATAGTAGTTTCAGTTGTTTCAATCAATTTATTATTCTTTTGTTTTTATTTTTTTTTTTTTTTTGAAATAAATACGACAAATTCCCGTTTTCCACGCTTCCCTCTTCGATTTCCAAACGGTTTTCGATCTGAATATTATCAGAGTAAATAATAACACAGCTGTCAAACAAGTAGAAGTGCTACTACGGAATATACTTTTCGGGGCTAACGCGTTCGAGAGAGGCTCTTTCTACCCCTGCGGCGACGACCACCCCCTTGTGTAATAGCACAGGCATCATCGTTTGTAAAAACATTTCATCCACTTGATTCCTGCTCCACAAACGGAAGGAATTACAAATTGAGAGGAACGACAAACAAAAATAAAAGGGAGCGTGACCGGGAAAAGTGGGATTGCTTCAACCCCCTTTCGTCATCTCTCTTTTTCTCTCGTGTAGTCGAAATATGAAGAGAGGGGTTGATATTCTGCAACTGAACTAAATAATTGATGTTGTTGATATGCTGATAAATGTATGTAGTGGCAAAACTTGAATAGATATTGTTTTTCTTTTGTTACAGATTCGTTACTAGGTTCAGCATCCGAAGATGACGAAGACGATGATAATAGTACAACATCGTCAGTAATGAAGCACCACTCCCTACACAGTTCCCTACCCCCCGCCCCAGGTGAAACGAATAACAATTCACTATCGCATTCGGACATAGGGAGTTCTATAAGCCAGGTCTGTACTATACAATATTTTTTAAAGTACACCTAATACCTATGTCGAATTTCAAAAGAAAGAATGACTGTAGTTCCTTCGGTATTCGTTTATTTATATGTTCTCTGTGCTTTTGTTTTGTTTACTTTTGAAGGTACATCTTTTGTTTCTATTGATGATATTTACCTAAAAAAGGTGACTGTAACTCCTTAAGTATTCGTTTGTTTATATGTTTTCTGTGCTCTTGTTTTGTTTACTTTTTTAGGTACATCTTGAATCCTAAATTTTGTTAATCCTTTTCTGGCGCCAATTTAAATACCTCTACGACGTGCAGGATCAATTCCGATTTCTGTTTAAAAATAGTTCAACGGCATAAACATACTACAATTTTGAGGCCTAAAAACGGGGGGGTCAATAAATCCTTCCGAATAAATAAATTTCAGAGCTAGTTTGCATATCCAAAATATAATAGCTAATCGTTTAAATTTCTGAGATAAAGAATATTCTGCGCGCGGGCACAAAAACGAGATGGAAAAGTCGAAGCGTTTTTAAATGCAAATTTTCATCTAATTAGAATACTAATGGCAGGTTACATGTAGCGAAACGTAATAAATTATAATCTGCTCTTCTAATAGCAGTTGTTAGCAACAGAAACACGAAATACATTATGGTAAATAAGTGAAGTATCTGTAGATAGTAAAAATCACGCAGTTTCAAAACTGTTCTCCATAATAATAAGTAGTAGTAGATACACCTTTTGCACTTGTCGAGAAGATAAAAACGCGAAAGAGACGCAAAAAACGCCTTAATGTGTACAATGAACACGTAAAGAAGGAAATGTTGAAAGTTTGAAATTATGAAATAATTTCATACACTACATGGGTCGGTTGTAGGTATATCTCACGAGTCGCATGGTAATTTGTTATGGTAGGTATTTTGCACCGAAGTCAGTTTTTTGTTAAAAATAATTCGATTTACGAAATCTATGTGTATTAGACAGACAATAGACAAAACACATTCCGCTCCTAAAAAATTTGACGAACGGTAGACGAGGTACGTATTAAAACGCAGAAATTTTAAGGAAATTGCGTATCGGTGCATTCACTTTACATTTTCCGTTCATTTGAATCATAATCTATCGGCAAGGTTACTCTACGTATAACTACCTATCATAAACGATTACGGGTGATATTGCGGTAGGTAATGTGGCAACTCAACACAGCAAACATTTCCGAATTTCATTTGTTTTTTTTTTGTCCGGAATAATTTTTTGTTTCTAGTAAGCGGCAGTGTGCTGTTGTTTTTGCTGTGCGATTTTCGCAATGTTTTGTTTTTTTGTTGCGAATACTCCTATACCTATTTAAGGTTTCATTTGTTTCGTTTCCTTTTGTTTTAGGAAACGAAAGCCGGTCAAGACGATTCGGAAGACCAGAATTCGTTCGACGGCGACCCGGAAACGCGGGACTCTCAAACGGAAAACAAAAGTCCGGACGACAGCAGCGCAGGTTCGAAACGCCGAGGTCCCAGGACGACCATAAAAGCAAAACAACTCGAAATACTGAAGGGGGCTTTCTCGCAAACGCCGAAACCCACGCGACACATACGAGAACAACTTGCCAAAGACACGGGACTGCCCATGAGGGTGATACAGGTAAATTATCGATATGTTTTTTTTAATGTTTTCAGTAGGTAACTAATCAAGGAGTTACCTATTAAGGGGTCGTTGTAACAATGAGAATAAAATCCAGTTGTAACAACGATGGGTATGCGTGTGTTTGGTGGCGCAGTCGGCGTTCGGTCGAAGGACCCCCCGCCTGGGGGACTCGCAGCCTTTACAAAGGTTGCCGCTCCACGTCCCGCTGGGCCCGAAGGGAACATGGGGTAGTAGTGGAAACGCCACATTATGTGGTTCGACAGTGAAACAACAAATCTCATACGAATGCATCGGTACCTAATAACAGATCCGTTTTTGCAATTCGATCCGTGGTCATATTTTACAAATATTAATATTTCTTCTGTCTTTCGGGGCCCCTTTCTTTCAGTGCCGAACGCCGCGTGTGAGGGATGAAATATTGCGGGGGCGGTTTGCACCTGGACAGATCGTTTGTTACGAAAGACCAACCTTTTGTCGGGATTTTTTACCCAATCAATAACAGTCGATAATATTGATCTACTTCGTTCTAGACGCATTTAAGTTTCGCATTTTTTGATTTTCACTTTTTGTTTCAAAATGTTTGGTTACATCCTATAGACCTTTACTGTATTCGTAATAGAATGATCGATAAGGGTGATTCGTGAATAATAATACTAAGCGGTAATGCAGCGATTAGGCGTTGCTTAGGTATGCAAAATATCAGGGTCGGCTTTATAATTGCCTGGTTGGAATTCACTATCGCATACGGACATAGCGAGTTCTATAAGCCAGGTCTGTACTATACAATATTTTTTCTCGCGTGATCTAACTTTACCTAATATGCCTATGCCGAATTTCAGAAGAAAAAGTGACTGTTGTTCCTTAGGTATTCGTTTTTTTTATATGTATTCTGTGCTTTTGTTTTGTTTACTTTTGTAGGTACATCTTTTGTTTCTATTGATGACATTTACCTAAATTTTGTTAATCTATAGAAATATATATAGCGTTTTATATCGAGTATCATTCGGTCCGTTAGAAGCAATATTTTAAAAAAATACTGTTGATCCTTGTCTGCTTGGGCTGTTAGAAATTATTTACAGCGCCAGAGGTTTACGGTTGGGGTTTGATCGGAAATATCTGATGTAAACAATCGGCCATATTCATCGCCCACGCTGTACTTTTCTCTAAGTGAACGGACTATATGTATTCGTACCTAACGAAAATTTGTGCGGCTATCTCCTCTGATGATACGACTTTCTGCAATTAGCTGACAATTAAAACCTCCAACTAGAAAATGGAATTAAGTAACGCGTCTACGTCTATTGTTTGATTAAAAATATTTCAAATATTTTATAGCTCCAGTTGACACTATACTGTGGCAGGGGGTTACGTTACCATTTCGTAGACTTAAATATAAAAAGGTCGGGATATATGGGCCGTTACAAGTGTCGCATCGCATTAAGCCCCGATAATTGCCCCGCTAACGAAGTGTTTTGTTTTTCTGGACCGTTCCCGAAAACGAGCAGCTCGATTTTGGCCCGGTGTGGTCCCATTTGTTCACGAAAATAACTCATGGTAATTGAGTCGGTTGCTTGATGTCGCAGTGGGCAATGCCTCTTAACAAAACTGGCGGCGGTGGGTGGCGGGGGTGGTGTGCGTTGGCTGGTGTTTGTTAACCCATGGTTAGAGTTGGACAAGGACCAGCCACTAACTACTAAACATTTTGTCCGCTAACGGTAATAAATTTGACGACCACGTCGCACGGAGAGGGTTGGTGATTTTTACGCGACATTTTCGAACGTTATTACAAGCGAGAAACGAGCGTGGTTTATGGGCCCCGCGGGGTCAGATTTCAACGAGAGTAAAAGGCGAATAAATAGGATTCGGGATATAACAGTTGGTACCTGCATTTTCCCAGTTTTGAACCTTAAAAATACCATCGTGAACAATATCAAACCCCTACTAGGTACATTATCGATCAAAAATTTTAATCCTTCAACTGGATTATTGCCAAATTGTCGATTTTTTAGTCAAAACACTTCACTGTCTCCGCAATTTGTTTTGCAAAAAAACAAATGCCACCGACGTGCGTTTTCACGGCAAATCCATCATCGAAACAACTGCCTAAATATGACATCATTTAACGTCGACGGACCAAGAAGCGCAATTTGAGCTCTTCTAATATTAGAACGGAAGGAATTAGCGTAATAGTAGTTTGGCGCCAAAAAAACGTTTTAACGATGTCATCATAATCGCGACGAGTTAGTAACGTATCGAGGAGGGACCCCACACACCAGAAACGTTAAATACTCATGCACCGCTTGGCATATCCCGTGCGTTCTGCACAATTTCCATCTGCATTTTGCTCTGCATTTGTCTTGATGCGCTTCGTCTAGTCTCAAAATCAACTTGTAGCATCGTATCGGCCGTCGTCTGTACGTATGTAGCTTCCAACTGCTCCGCTCGAGACGACACAAAGAAACAAATAAAACAAAAACAAAAAATAGAAAGAAAAGAAAATCGAAAAAGGAGAATAACGTAGTACGTACACAACGACGACGTGACGTGTTATGATTTGCAGCTGCGGCCGAAGAAACAAAACAAAAACAAAACGAAAGACAAACGAGGAGTTATATAGGTGCAAGAGCAAATGTAGTTAGTTTCCTTCTGGTCAGGAATGTTAAAAGCGCAAATTAAGTCTGCATACACAAAACGGAATGAAACAAGTTCCTCTAACGTAAGTTTTTGCGTTATGCATCTTGTATATATAATAAATCTTCATTGTTCTTGTTCTTAGAAACAATAGACTGCCGTTTTTCTATAGTCTCGGTAATATTTCACACAGAAATCCAAAAGTTCAGTAAATAATTCGTCGGATGTCATTAATATTTTTCGGAGGCGGATCGGGGATGCTGTATACACTCTTCTGGACATGAGGCTAAATTGATGATGTAACCTCCCACTCACTCACCGACCTGCGGTGTTTGACCTCAAATTTTCTCGTAATTATAGGTTCGAAATTAGTGAAACTCGGCTTCTTAGGTACTGTGGATACACAAATATTTCTTTTTCCACAAGCCCCGTTGTTGATACTATTCGTGGAAGAATCGGTTAATTTATTTAACGATAAATAATAAACAGTGAATGTAGACGTTGAATGTTGAGCGCGGTCTTCGAGGTCCTGCCATCTGGAACTGTCGAGTCCGGACGAAAAAAAGCCATTAAAATGCCGAAATCGGGTTCGAATGGCAGTTTTACGAAGTCGTAAATTATAATTGGAAAATAAGCGTGAGATTTAGTATAAGGGTTGGTAAGTATGATACTCAATCTTCCTCATTCGAACGCCAAAAATGTTCAATTTTTCACAGTTTCGTTCTTATTCCAACAAAACTAGCGATCGTTAAGTGTTTTATTTTGTTTGTAAAACAAATTCAAAGCGTAAAATACATCAGCACTTCTCATTTCGCTATTTTTTTTTTTGTTTTTGTAGAAAACATTTGATTTTTCGCTGTTTTGTTTTGCTAATTGAACAAATTCTAATCGCAAAACAATTGCTAATTTTCGTTGTTTTCGACGTAAAATTGCATTTCTAGAGTAACAATGCGACTTCGGATCGTTTGTATACGGCAAAGGTCAAACCACGAATTTTAACGTGGGTTGACGTTAAAATAAATTGTGGATCGATAACTTTTGGGAATTCCCTCCAACGGTTATTTGTTTGGCGTCTAACTAACGTCAATTCGGTTTAAAGTCTGATGGAATGTAGCTGCAGGAGCACACCTGATCATGATGACGATGATGACAATCGATGATCGTCGATGGCATCAGGAAATCAAAGAAGACGCTGTCACGGTCTTCTGCCCTCCTATAATTGAAATGTCACAAAGGAAACTGGCCTCCACAATGGTAGTTTCCAAGGTGGCTTTGTCTGTCGTATGTACGAGGGTGGATTGATAAGTTTCCGGCCTGACCAAGAAAAACAAGGTTTTTAAAATTTTTTTTTTTTTATTTCTCAACATAATCTCCTCCAAGGCTGATACATTTCTCATAGCGGTGTTCCAGTCTATTAATGCCATCTCTATAGACTGATTCGTCTTCGATTACTTCTTCATTGTCCGCAAATCTCTTACCGCCAAGCCATTTTTTGAGATTAGGGAACAGAAAATAGTCACTCGGGGCTAGGTCTGGAGAGTAAGGAGGGTGCGGCATCAATTCAAACTTTAGATCGTTGATTTTAGCCGTCGCAACGATTGACGTGTGCGCTGGTGCGTTATCGTGATGAAACAAGATTTTTTTCTTCGCCAGATGAGGTCGTTTAATTTTCACCTCGTGGCTCAAACGTTGCAATAAGTCTGCGTAGTATTGACCAGTGATAGTATTACCCTTTGCAAGGTAATCAATGTATATAATACCTCTTGCATCCCAAAAAACAGTAGCCATAACCTTGTTCGCCGAAAAAATTGTTTTTGCCTTCTTTGGAGTTGGTTCCCCTGGTCCAATCCACTGTTTAGACTGTTCTTTGGTTTCAGGAGTGTAGTGGTGGACCCACGTTTCGTCAACGGTTACGAATCGACGCAAAAATTCGCTTGGATTACGCTTATACAATGACAAATTTGCGGTAGAAATGTTTTTTCGAATCAATTTTTGGTCGACTGTTAGCAAACGCGGCACCCATCTTGCACAGAGCTTTTCCATATGCAAATGTTGGTGCAAAATATGTTGCACACGTTCATATGACATCTTACAGGTCTCAGCTATCTCACGCACTTTCAATCTGCGGTCTCCCAGCACTATTTGATGAATTTTTTCGATCATATCTGGAGTTGTGACCTCAACGGGGCGTCCTGAGCGAGGCCCATCAGAGGTGCTCACACGACCCTTTTTAAACTCGGAAACCCACTGCTTAACGGTTGAATATGACGGGGAGGATGTCCCCAGTGTTGAGTCCATCTCTTTTTTAATTTCCTTCGGCGTTAACCCCTTCAAATAAAAGTATTTGATGACAGCACGATTTTCCT